ATAAATGACCTTGAACAATGCTACATCTGAGAGAGATTAAAAAAAAGTATTTTGAGGGGGAGAAAAAAAAAGGCTGCTACAGACAACAGGCTAACCCCTCCCATGTTTTTTATCATAGCCAAGCATATTATCATAGTCTGGGGGAGCTCAAGACCGAGGCAGGGTGTCATGCCAAAGCCTGGCTTTTATGAGGGGTTTTATATTCATTTGATGATCTTGCGGGCCTCTGTTTCCTGAGTGGATTATCCATATATGCCAGTGCTGAGCCCTTTATATATTCAGCACTGCGGCAGAGTCAATAAGGTCCGTTCTGCATTCAATATTCAAGATTATACAAGACAGACAGCATAATTCACACCCAATCAGAATACAAATGACTGCAGACGGCAGAACAACTCATTGGAAAACAAACAGCTGATTCTCAGGGCTGGGACCGGTTCAGTCAGAACTGCCTGACTGTGCTCAGAGATGGTGCTTTTTCAAAAACTAAACCTGTGGAGAATTTTTTATCCCTACTTATCACAGCTTCCTTGTTTGTTGAAGTTCTGATCATGATAATCTGGGGAGAAAGACAGTGGGGTTGAAGGTCACTGTATGACTTTTTTCTGTGCATTTGCTTTGAGCGTACTCGCACGAGCTACATAAATTTGATGTGTGAAATATAACAGCCATTTTTTTAATTACATTTATGCGTTATGAACTGTTTCCACCTGCAGCAACCATAAAAATTGCCCTCCATGGGATGGATCGGGAGATGAGAGAGGAGTACCTGGTGGTGATACAGGCTAAAGACATGGGAGGACATATGGGCGGTTTGTCTGGAACGACGACTGTGACCGTCACGCTAACGGACATTAACGACAACCCACCAAAGTTTTCCAAAAGTAAGCAACTTCACAACCTCAGAGCTCCCAAATCATATTAAATGACAAATAATAAATGGCTGGAGCTCTTTATGAGTGTGTCTTGTAATTGGGAAAAATAAATGTTAGATTGTAAAAAAAATCATTTAACCAGCTCCTTGAAAGCTAATTCTGCTAAATGCTGTAATGCATCACAATGATACAATGCTGCATAATTTTGTTAATTTGATTTCTAGAAACCAAAGAGCTACAGTATGTTTGTTTTCTTGTTGTCATCCCCCCACCCAGGTTTGTATGAATTTGTAATCCCAGAAGACCTACCAGTAGGAAAAATGGGTGGCAAGGTAAAGGCAGTTGATCGAGACATCGGTGATAATGCCAAGTCGACATATAACATCATAGAGGGAGACGAGCAAGGCACGTTTGAGATTATTACAGACGCACAAACGCAAGAGGGGATACTCAGGCTAAAAAAGGTAAGACCTGAAAGATCAATGTTAATAACACTTTATAATAACTACACCTTATTTAGCCTTAATTCATCATTAAAAATGGTTTGCTAACCTTAACAACATAATTAATTAAGGATGATTCACAATAAGCTACAAATAAAACATTTAGTAATGCTTTACCTCTAACGGCTATTCATTTCCAAAACCAGCATAATCATTGTTTATTCATGCTTAATAACGTATTAACTATCCTATATACTGTGTGTACATAAATGCTCATGTAAATGTACTTCCACACCACGTGTTAGACATGGTTAGAGTACATTTGAATTGACTATCTGCTAAATCTGCAGATCATCAATACATAAGGCAGTTGCTAGTTAAATACGTATTTTTGTGAACCTTTTTAAAGTAAAGACTATTTATACTTTTTTTTTCTTATTTATTTATGTAGAAAAAACCCTGAAGGGTGACAAGTTCATGTTCACCTGTGGAAATCATAGTCAGTTCAAATGTTCTCTAACTATTAATATGAACATTTACATACATATGTACACACCATATATAATAGCAAAATCATGACATATTAGGCATGACTAAGCAATGAGTATGATTGTTTTGAATGTAATTAGCCTTCATGAGTAACCTATTAACACATGTGTTAACTTATTACTTATTAAGTATGAATTATTTTCAATTAATTATGTTTTTAAGGGTAACTAATAATTTATTAATGGTTAAGTAAGGTTGAATAAAGTGTTGTTATTATGAAATGTTACCAAGTTAACTGTGTAGTAATATGCAGCATGCAGGAATTACTGCAATATGGAAACTATTGTGGCCACTGGCTCTAAAACATCTCTGGTTTCATCAAGTGTCATCTGCTTTCATAAAGTTAATAGATTTTCTCCACCCGTCATTACAGTGTCAGTGGCAAAATTAAATCATTTTGATTAGTGTCCTTGTGATCTTTCTGAAAATAATTCCTTAAGTAGATAAAAATCAGACCTCACTAACTGGCATTTATTTCAAATGATAGATGACTCTATGCCCTCTTATCCAACACTGGTCGCTTGGAGCAGTAAAAAAAAGAAAGAAAACAACAGTAACACAAATATATCATGTACAGATAAATAAAACAAAGATATGATAGCATAACCTTCAGTCCATGGAAATTATGTAGCAAACGTTAGCCTGTTTTTCTTTCTTTTTTTAGGAAACGATTAGGGTATCTAAAGCTTTCCTAGTAAGCTGGAACTGTCTCAACTCACCGTCAGCTGTTRCATGTTGTAAAGAAGTTCATGCCTATGCTCTTGTTTAGATTCTGTTTGGCTGATGCTCTGTTTACGCTGAAGAGYAGGATGATTAAACTGGAAGTTGTAGCTCTAACACATCAACAAGTGAGTGCTAGTTTGGTTTCAGAGCAACTTTAAAGTGGCAATCGTGTCTTAATTGTCTGGCTCAAGGGTACATTAGCTGTAGTTCAGAGGGAAACAACAACAATGATCTGGTCTGAAAGAAAACAAGCTGGTGACATTCCTGTTAAAGATTTTTTTTTATTTTATTTTATCTTTTTACCCAGAGGCAAACACATTGAGACATGTCATAGTATATTGCTAATTTTAAAAGCTACGTTTTAAAGTATGACATATAAAACTTCCACCTGGCTGCCTGCTTTACTGAGTCCAAGCAGTATAACCAGAATCTCACKTTTTACACATCATTAATGTGAAAAGCCTATACCAAAGCTGTAACAATATTTCTTCCTGGCTAGATGCATCTGCACTTTGAGTCTGGATGTCATTGCTTGCCTGTGGGCATTTAGAGTACTCAACTTCTCACTGCAAAAACTTATACAATTTAAATGTGAAAACAACATTTTACTGTGATAAAACCATGGCCTGCAAAGATGTGCACATTTGTGGAAGGTTTAATCAAGATTTGAACACAAATTTAAATAAAGGAAAAACTGTTTAAAGGTAATTGTTGACAAAAAAGTACCTTATTTGGATATATTAGATGTTTGCATATCCAACAAAACAAAACAAAAAAAATAGTTGATGGCTGGAGGATCCTAAGCCTTTAGTCATGGTTGGTTTAGAGACTGCCAAGAGCAGCTAACATCACTCAAATCTACAGTGGCATTGTGCTGTGATGTAAAATGACRTTACCCCAAGGACGTATCGAGTGACTTTGTCAAAGTGTGAACAATRAACTGCGTGGGAGGTGGAATGTACAAGAGGTAAGGCAATCTGCTGGGACTCCAGCACAATGCCACTAAAGAAAACATCAGTGCTGCAAAACAAACTTGACACTAAATCATAAAATCTCTGACTGTTGACAAAGCAAATGTCACACATGTTAGTCGTTCAGGAAAACTCTTCTTCCATGATCCACAGGGGAGACTCACTGTTCCCATGCCTGCTCAGCTTTCTCTTTGTGGCCCAGGGTTTGCTCCCTACGTAACTGAAGGATGCTAGATAATGTGCCGGGGAAGTGGCAAGGCATTCAACACACTTCCGTTTTTTTGAATGCTTCAAAACGAGTTTGAGGAGTCAGTTTTGATTCTCGACGTTGGACAGAACAAAAGACTGAACTCTACCTCTTCCTGCCCCTGCCAACAGCTGGACGGGTTCATAAACTTTCATCTTGTGTGAAAATGAAATTATTTAAGAGCCTTTTTGGTGAGATTAAAACATATTGATCTGCGGCCGGAGATACACAAACAGGGGGAGAGAAAAAAAAAGAAGAGAAAACTCATAGCGTTTGACTTTTAAGCTTTTTATCTGTTAGCCCCCAGGCCTGTCGAGGGATGTTAGTGGGATGCTGAGCTTTCACCCCTGCAGCCAGCGGTGAACTTTCAAGTCTTTAAATGGCCCGCGTGTACATGCTGATTTAATGCTAACGCTTGACTGAGGCCACAGAAAGAAACAGCGGGGGGTGCTGGGGTTCGGAACATGTGGGGAGTTAACTCAGTAGAGGCAGGAATGCGTCTTTGTCACCGCATGCAAATCTGTCTTCTCTTTAAGACTCAGCTAGTTATCTCACATTGTTTACTGGGAATAAACTCTGCCAGGATCTAGTATGAGCCATGCAATCTTTTTACGGCATTACGTTTGACAGCCCCACCATATTTCTTTCGCTTGCACAAATCGCTTAATAATCAGAAGTAGCTGTACAACAGCACAGCTATGCATACTAATCAAACTCTAATCTCCCTGGATTATTCAGTCCAAGCACAGTGTTTGTTTAATGAAATAATAATTTCAAAGGGTCAACATATGAGTTGGATTCTGATTCTGTGCTCAGGATATTATGCAGCACAATACAAGGRACAGCTTGCGTAAATGCTTTATTTGATTTTCTAATTGATACTAAAAATTGTTTTAATTAAACTTACCCAGGGTAATTAAAGTAGCTGTTTACCAGCATGTTTTTTCTTTAAGTGAATATGGTATAATTAAATTTGCCAGCTACAGTGAAAGCCCCCACCCCCTTTTTTTTACTCTCCGTTAGGCCAGTAGAAACAAACATAATGAGCTGGTTTTACACTCCGTTATGTGACAGTTTTACTGAACTGTTTTCATATCGATGACGCAAAGCACAGTGAGAAACCTGTATTGAGATTTTTTGCTTTCACGAGTAGCAGCTTACAAATATGCTCCTCTACTAGAGTCCAGAATTCTACAATTAACATAATACCTGAATCCTTTCTAAGTCAGTTGCCAATTATTTACTGTATTTTTTTGAACAAAACTGAGACCAGGTTAAAAGCCTTGCATTCACTCAAAACATATATAATGTCAAAATTAACAACGTAAAGACAAAATGACAGTGTCTATTTTTTGTCAAACCTTCAACATAACTTTTTTTTTGCAGTTTCATGCAAAACTACAAGATCCTGCATGAGCCATTAAAGTTTGAATTATTTGTTTTAACTCAGCTACTATCACATTGCGCTTTATTTCCAAAATTATAATTCTAATATTTGTAAACTTGCCAACCTATAGCCATTCTGTGATTGATAAATCTGTTTAGCTGTGAGCATCTTGAATCAAGATGAGCACTTGTGCAGTGTTGTAAGATAATGGTGTTTATATTTCTTTTGGGATTGAATTGCTCACTAAGAGTAAATTAAGGCTTTGCATGAAACAGATATAGAAAGTGTGAACACAGATGATGTCCCTGTTTATACGTAGTTCCTATTATGATACCATGAATGTATAATAGCTTTTTGTTGTTGTTGTTGTTGTTGTTATTTTCATTTTTTAACAAACACTATTCAAAAAGCCATGCCTTATGAAGTCCAACATAAACTGTGTGATTAAAAAAAATAAATAAATAAGTGTGAAAGGCTTGTACATGTCACAGTGTGCAAGCTCAGTATTATAAAATCTTAATAATAGCATTTGTCATAGTGTAAAATCTTACATGTATTAGATGTCGGACTCAACATTTTTTTCTGCAGTAGTATTCAGGACATGACAAAGATTCTAAAAAAGATAATGTAGAAATCTAACACCAAATGGAAAGAAAGCAATGGTGTTAATACTCTAATTATTAGATTTAAGCCTGCTTTATACTTCATGAGAAGTGCCCCAGTTGTGTCTCGCTGATGTGGCTGAGTGTCATAAACTGCATTTTTTTTTTCTCCTAGCATTGGTCTGAGGCTCCCACACAGCCTCCAATCAGTACTATTGTCTTGCAGGTTGTGGGCCAGGTATTGTGTGACTTGTCAGAACTTTGTGGGTGTGTTWATTAGRAAAAGTGACTACAGCACACTGATCTCATTTCACCTCAATTGCTCTGTTAAAGAGAAAGAGACAGAGGCTGTTACAAAAATAGTGCCATCTTTATCACTTTAAAGATAGTTGATAAATCTTGTAAAGATAGTCAACAAACTTGTGGAAGGAGATTACACAGATTTGGTGCATGGAGAAGACAGCGTGGAGACACAGGCGGTGGTTGTTCTGTCTGAGAGAGAGTGCACCTTGTCTGAACAGTGTAGGGAAATATTCCAACACTCTGTCAGAAACAGTGAAGGTCTCTTTTTGACAAATTTGTAAAATATTGCTTCTACTCAGTTAATAACAGAAATATCAGATGCTTCTCCTTCAATGTTAACTAGATAAGCACCCACTCTGCCAAACGTGCTGCCGCTGTGTTGTTTTTGTCCAAATGTGATGTGTGCTGCGGTGGGAGGGCTTGGCAGGACTCCTCCTCCACGTGTGAAAATGAATTTCCCATAACCACATCAGCGAGATTGGATATTTTATGTCTTGTGAATTATAAACCCGGCTTTAAACTTGGAAATAAAATGAGGAGGAAATGTAGGCAGCTGAGGACATGTTCATGGCTTAGAAATTGACCTCAGTCACAGCAGCAGTCACACTGCATAATTTTACAAGAAAATTTCTAATATTGCTCAGTTTTTGTCTCAAGTTGTCTGTGGTTGTAGGAGTGCACTGACTACTGCTTCAAATTCAAAACCAAAGCTCTTCTTACATTTATTTGGCAACAAAATGTTTTATCTGCAGTTACTGTAAGTTACTGTGTGAATTTGACTATAAAATAAGTTTATTGAATTACCTAGTGAAGTTATGTCTATATCTATTTAGAGGCATAACACAAAATATATCTAGCTCAAATATTCACATAAATGTTTGTTTCATGTCTAGAATCTAACATCTCCACCCACCATTGGTACTGGAAGTACAGAAAATATGTCCCCTGAAAAATTAACATTTCCTTTATTTTCACTTAATACTACCAAGTTTAAAGCAATAAAACAAGTACCCACACTTTAAAATTATTTATCTAAAGGTTTCGGTTCAAGCTTCTCGCTCCACTTTCTCAGCACAGACGGCAGGATCTGAGGGAGAGAAAAAGGATCTGAGGGAGAGAAAAGAAAGGGCTGAGGAGGGGGCTGGGTGTCAAGTAAAGAGGAGGATGAGGAGCGGAGTAAGGGGAGGTTAATAATCAGAATGTTCCAAAGAGCATCTCTGACCGTGGAGGAGTGGGGCTTGGAGAGGCTTCGGGGGCTTTGGTCTCTTTATGATAGCCCTGATGTCAGACTGTAGAAGTGTGGAAGTCAAAGCCCCAGGTTGCCGACTACATCCCCTCGACTGTCGCTGCCGTCTCAGAGCTGGACCCCTAGACACCCATCCACCCACCTGCCCTCTCTGTCGTAGAGCTCTCAGCGCTGGCCTGCTCTGACCGGAGGGACAATTCTCTCTTTCTCTAACTGAATACATTTCCCGTTTTGTTCATCCCTCTCCTTTTAGTCCCCTGCAAGCCAACTACTGTCCCCTCAAGCGGCAAGGCCCACTTTTGATTTCCCTATAAATCCCGGTTATGGAGCATGGAAGTGACTTGATCCCATTATTCTAGTAGTCTGARAGTGACCAGAGGTGATTCCGAATGAAATTGTAACAGTCCTTAGATATGACCAGAGGAAAATTTCAACTCTTTTCTCTCTTTTAAATATTAATGATGAGCAATCAGGAAAAAAAAAAATAAAAAAAATAAAATAAAAAAAAACTACACATCAGTACAAAAATGACACAAACACACTAGAAGACATCACATTTTTTTTTCTGTTCTTGGTAAATTAGTCTCTCTTGATAGTCTTAACTAAACAGATCTCTTGTTTCTTTTTTTCACATGGGTTGACTGATAGGTGTTTGAAATAATCTGCTGTCGCTGCGAGCATTAGCAGGGAGTTGTTTTTTTTATTTACAAAAAAGAATTTATCAGATTTTGCAGCTCTGAAAACTGCAGCGACTTGACTGATCAAAGTCAAAYTAATGATCAAAACATTCAGTTTCCAACTTGCAAACACCTAAAACATTATCACAACCGCTTACAAACTTCACACCTGRATGAATATTAGTAGCAGCACAGGCAGACAATGTTTAATAAATTATTCTGTTAGAAATGCTCAGATACTGCTCTGTTGTATGGTTGGCTTTTTCCCCTATWTGCACTAAACGCTAATTCTTCTCTGTAGCATCTTTGTCAAGAAGGCATTAGAAATTTTTGTACATGTTGACAGCTTGGACTGGCACTGAATAAAAATATGTTTAGAAAAGGAGTGAACAAGTGATATAAGGTAAAATAGTTATTATAAAAAATATAAATGTAACGCTGTTTCACTGATCCATCACTTGTACTTGCTAGAATTGCAGAAGCCAGATGTCCTGAAGAAGAGCTATATTTATTTTGGCAGACAGGATTCAAGACATTTCTGTTGGATTCTCAGAGCTCATCCGTTTTATTTTCAGATTATTTAAAATTCACCAGGATGACTGAGGGAAGAAATTGTTTAAATTATTACTTCCTTTCTCTCTGCTGCTTCTCTACATCTGGGACTTAGTTTTTTTATTTATTTATTTATTTA